CCCTGGTTCAAGCAATTCTCCTGCCTCAGCCTCTGGAGTAGCTGGGACTACAGGCACAAGCCACCACGCCCGGCTAATTTTTGTATTTTTAGTAGAGACAGGGTTTCATCATGTTAGGCAGGATGGTCTCAATCTATCAACCTTGTGATCCGCCCATCTCAGCCTCTCAAAGTGCTGGGATTACAGGCGTGAGCCACCGAGCCCGGCCGGTGCTGCTCTAGTTCTTACGGTGCAGGTGAGAAAACCAGGCTTAGAAGATCTGTATGCTTTATCCAGGATCCCTCAGCCAGTAAATGGCAGATCTGGAAAGTCACTGCACTACACTACACAGCCTCTTGAGAAAGGCAATGCATGTGGCAAACAGAATATAGAGAAATACTGAAAATGAGGCATTATTACTTTCAAGCCAACGTCAGAAACAAATAACTAACATGCTGGACATTTTAGAATATGTGAGCTCACAATTTGCCCTATGAAACTCATCAGCATTATCTCAACTCCTCAAATGTCCATTTGAGTGGGGTGAATTGCAGTTGTATTTGTTTTACTATGATTTCTGTGAACTATGTTTTGAATTTCAACATTTCTTCATCAGAGAATAACCAACAATGATTTCAGGGAAAGAATAAGTTCCACTTTCTTACTAAAACTGGCTATTTCTTTTTTATTTATTTATTCATTTATTTTTATTTATTCATTTATTTTTCTGTTACCCAGTCTGTGATCTCAGCTCACTGCAACCTCCACCTCCCGGGTTCAAGTGATTCTCCTGCTCTAGCCTCCTAAGTAGCTGGGACTACAGGCATGCACCACCACACCTGGCTATTTTTTTCTTTTCCTTTTTTTTTTTTTTTTGTATTTTTAGTAGAGACTGGATTTCAACATGTTGGCTAGGCTGGTCTCAAACTCCCAACCTCAGGCGATCCACCCACAGCCTGAGGCCTCCCAAAGTGCTGGGATTACAGGCGTGAGGCACCATGCAGGTCAAGAGCTGGCTATTTCTTAAAGCATGCATATGTATGTAATAACAGTTCATATTCATGGAGCACCTGTTCCATGCTGAGCTCGTTAGAGGTGGTCTGCATCTGAATTGCTAATTAGCTGTCAAGGACTTAAGTGCGGTTGCACAGAAAAGGATTAATGTACACACACAAAAAACAGTTCCCGATTATGACTGAGCATTGTGGCCGGCCTTGAAGAGAGCAGGAAAAGAAAAAAGAAGAAAAAAAAATGGGAGAAAGGGTACACCAGGATGAAATAAGCCAGCTAAATAAGCCACCTTAATAATCAGAAGTTGACTTCTGGAATCCATTTTTAATGTTAATTATTGATATTTTGAGTGCTGGGATTACAGGCGTGAGCCATCGCACTCCGCCGGTGTAGCTATTTTGAGATTTTTTTTTTTTTCACGATGGTAACCAAAGAGGAAAAATGTCTAAGTGCTAGCTTGACAGCATGGAGATTTTTTAGGGGTCGTCTTAGTTGTCTGACTTCTGAATTTTAAATATTTATGGAAGCATTAATAAGAAATCCGTCTTTGCTGCTGATGTTAATGGCAATGCCTGATCCTAAGGCATAGAGTTCACCTCGGCCTTAGAACCCCAAAGAAAAATTCCATTTGTCTCTGGAATAAGAGGCACAATTATAGGGAGGAAAAAAAAATGCCTGCCTGACTCCAGAAATTCTTTCCATGGAGAACTTTCCTGATTAAGTTTCTAAACAAGCTTCACTGCAGATGTTCTGGGTATCTCTGTATCCATTTCTTACACGTGTTTTCTGAGATGTGCTAATTTTTGAGAAAACACTCTCCTCCCTACCTTCTCTTTTCTCTTAACTGTATGGTATATATAACCCATGCCTTTGGAAGAATCAATTATATGCTTTGTGAAGCCTTCAAGACAGGATATTGGTGAAAAATCAGGCAGCAGAGCAGGTGGAGGGGATGTACTAGTCTCTTCTCATGCTGCTAATAAAGACATACCCAAGACTGGGTAATTTATAAAGAAAAAGAGGATAATGGACTCACAGTTCCACGTGGCTGGAAAGGCCTCACAATCATGGCAGAAGGCGAAAGGCATGTCTTACATGGCAGCAGGCAAGAGAAAGCATGTGCAGGGGAACCCCCCTTTATAAAACTCTCTCTATAGATCTCATGAGACTTATTCACTGTCACAAGAACGAGAGTTTCTGGGCCAGAGTGAATGCTTTCATCTACCTCAACCTTTTGCATTAGTAATACACACAGGAGGCTGGAGAAATGGAGTACTGTCACTCAACTTACTGTTTTCAGCTTCTTAAATTTTTTTCCCAAGTTCTTCTCCTTAATTCCTACAGTTCCAAAATAGATGTGGGCCAAAGATGATATTTACAGCTAAGCTGCTCAGGTGCCTCAGTGAAAAGAATGAAAACTCTCTTACCTCTCCCCACAGGGCCAGCCTATTTGTAGGTATAGAGTCTGGGCTGTCTAAGCAATGCGAAAGGAAAATATCTTGGGCCTTTTCAAGCTGGGAACTGCTTAAGGCAAACCTGCCTCCCATTCTATTCAAAGTCACCCCTCTGCTCACAGAAATAGATGCATATCTGATTGCCTCCTTTGGAAAAACTCAGAAACCCAAAAGAATGCAACCATTTGTCTCTCACCTACCTGTGACCTGAAAGCTCTCAGTGGGGGAGGGGGAAGCTTGCTTTGAGTTGTCTCTGTCTTTCTGGATGGATCTAATGTACTTCTTACATATATTGATTGACAGCTCATGTCTCCCTAAAATGTGTAAAACCAAGCTGTGCCCGGCCCACCTTGGGTACAGGTCATCAGGGCCTCCTGAGGCTGTCACCAGCGTGTCTTCAACCTTGGCAAAATAAACTGTGTAAATTAACTGAGACCTGTCTCAGATTTTCTGGGTTCACAGAAATTTTACACAAAAGGGAAAAAGAAGTTTCCTTTAGTAAAAATCCTTGTTAAAACATCTCCCATTGCATCTTAAGGCTGCATATTTTCCTTCCTATCATGTTGGTGAAACTTTCTGACGGCCCACTTCCATCTGAGAGACAGGACTACCTGGATTTCCTAGGTCGACTAAGAATCCCTAAGCCTAGCTGGGAAGGTGACCCTTCTACCTTTAAACACGGGGCTTGCAACTTAGCTCACACCCGACCAATCGGATAGTAGAGACTTCACTAAAATGCGAATTAGGCAAAAACAGGAAGTAAAGAAATAGCCAATTGTCTACTGCCTGAGAGCACAGCGGGAGGGACAATGATTGGGATATAAACCCAGGCATTGGAGCTGGCAACGGCAACTCCCTTGGGGTCCCCTCCCTTTGTATGGGAGCTCTGTTTTCACTCTATTAAATCTTGCAACTGCACTTTTCTGGTCTGTGTTTGTTACGGCTCGAACGGGGCTTTTGCTCGCTGTCCACCATTGCTGCTGGCTGCCATTGCATACCGGTGCCTGACTTCCATCCCTCTGGATCCAGCAGGGTGTCCGCTGTGTTCCTGATCCAGCGAGGTGCCCATTGCCACTCTCAGTCGGGGTAAAGGCTCGCCATTGTTCCCACACGGCTAAGTTCCTCGGGTTCATCCTAATCGAGCTAAACACTAGTTAGTGGGTTTCATGGTTCTCTTCCATGACCCGCGGCTTCTCATAGAGCTGTAACACTCACTGCACGGCCCAAGATTCCATTCCTTGGAATCTGTGAGGCCAAGAACCCCAGGTCAGAGAGCACAAGGCTTGCCGCCATCTTGGAAGTGGCCGCCACCATGTTGGGAGCTCTGGGAGCAAGGACCCCCCAGTAACACGTTCATCCTTGAATGAGAAAATGTCTGGTCCAGCTTGGTATTGTAACGTAAACATGGTGGGTGCATTTTCTTTTCCTTGAATTCCTTCACCATTTACCCAAATTTTCATTCTAACTTTCTCGAATGGAGCATAGTCAAAGCCAATGTCCAGTAACCAAGCAATCTGAGGGATGGAGAAGGATGGGGCTGCCGGTGGTCTGGGTAAGGAAGTTGCTCTGTTGCTTTGTCTTCTCTGTGTTTGGGGTTTCCACTGCTATAGGGAGCAGCCGTCGGAATCTGGATTTTGGTCTGGTCTGGCGTCCATGCTGACAGCTCACACGGCCAAGTTCAGCCCCTTTCGTTATTTCTTTCTGACCCAGTAGAGAGACGGCTGGCCATTCTTGGCTGGCCCCTGCTGTAGGTCCTGGGGGACCTGCCTGGGACTTCCCATCACTGGTGTTTTATAAGCTGATCATCTTTGAATGAAAAGGGCTCCTCAGTGATGTGAGACACACCTGCCTGGTGGGCTGCCCTCTCCGTGTGCCTCCTCTCATTCACAGTCAAACACAGCGGTGGGTTGGGCCAGGTTCTCTGTACCAGCTGATGCTCCTTAGGGTGCAGGTTTCTGGAAGCCCTGCTCAATCTGCTTTCAACAAAACAGAAGAATTCACCGATGAATAGAACTACGAAGCCCAAGAGTAGAACTGACAGACTAGACTCAGGGGCCGGAATAATGAATCCAGTCTCTCTCCTTCTCTGGGTCTTCGGTAAATGTTAGATTTCATTTTCAGATTCCACTCACCATCTCAGGCTTCTATGATCCGTATGTTACTGATACCTGAGGAAAAAATGTACTATCTTTATCTGATAATTTCTTAGGCGTCCCAGAACTCACACTAATAATCAGCTCCACCTCTTGAAAATTCATAATAATCAGCTCAACCTATTCAAAATCCCAACACTTAACTGTGGCCACCATGTTCAGAGGGATGGAGTGAAGAGGGCTGGAGAAGCCCCAGTCATGTGTCTCCTGGTTCCTAATGACAGCAGCAGGGAAGACGGTGGGTTTTTGATGCTCTAATTGGTCAGAAGGAAAAACCTCATTAAAATTCCCAGGTAATAAAAATAACTAAATATAAAGAAAATTTGGTACTGTGAGCCCAACAAATGAGTTGGGACATGAACAACATCAACAACAATTGTCTGCCCTGATAGCCACTAATTACCTCTGGGTGAGGCAGGACCGTTTTGCCAGAAGAGGTTCTGCGTCTTGTGGTCTTGTGGCTGTGGATGGCTCTCTATTCTTGTTACCAGCCCGTGAAAATGATGCAGCTCTGATTCGTGGAGGAACACCAGGTTCTTCATCTCAAGTCAAATTAGAAAAAAATGACACAGACTCACGTGGGGTAGTTTTAAGGAGCAGAGAGGTTAATAGGCAAGAAGGAAGGGAGAAGACAAAAGGAAGAAGCTCCTCTGTACAGAGACAGACAGGTGGGTCTCCAAAGCCAAAAGAGGAAACCCCAAGTGGGATGGATACCTGCCAGGTATATGTACAGGCTGGAGGAGGTGGTATCTGATTTGCTTAGGGGATTGATTTGACCACGTATGTCATTTACGTGGCGCTGGAAAACACTGATGCTCCCACCCTAGCTTTTAATATGCAAATGCAGGCCGCCATGATGTTCCACACACTTGGGGATGGGTGGGGTGGCCACGTTGCCAGGAACACGTGGGGCAAGGGCTAGAAGGCAGAGGGATTCCCCATGTTTGGGTGGACCTAGTTTCTAATGGATGACATTTGCATATCAAAGGTTGCCTGTTTGGCTGTAAGAGCTGCGGCTTTCCAGCTAGACAAGAAACGTCTTTAAAAATGAAAATTTCCCAAGGACCCCTTTTTCTCTCTTTAAAAATGAAAATTTCCCAAGGACCCCTTTTTCTCTCTATTTGCCTAAAGTTATTTCTTTTTTTTTGAAACGGAGTCTGGCTGTGTGGCCCAGGCTGGAGCTCAGTGGCCGGATCTCAGCTTACTGCAAGCTCCGCCTCCCGGGTTCCCGCCATTCTCCTGCCTCAGCCTCCCGAGTACCTGGGACTACAGGCGCTGCCACCTCGCCCGGCTATTTTTTTTTATTTTTTAGTAGAGACGGGGTTTCACTGTGTTAGCCAGGATGGTCTCAGTCTCCTGACCTCGTGATCCGCCCATCTCGGCCTCCCAAAGTGCTGGGATTACAGGTGTGAGCCACCACCCGCGCCCGGCCTGCCTAAAGTAATTTCTTAAAAACTCCTACCACAAAAGCATCCTCCTTCTTTAAATATTCCTTTGTTTATTTTACTAGGGGGAAAGAGCTAGTGTTGACACTATCGTTCAATTTAAAGACCTAACTGAAATTACTCAATTTTACATAAATTCTCAGAATAGGTATCAAATTCCCTGGGTCCATAATCCACATAAAAAGAGAGATTAGGGTGTTCAGTGCCTTTCTTAATATGCAAAACTAAAATTCTGGATGCTATTAATAAGATAGTCCCTTCTTTTTCAGACTGTCAGAAACATTACAGCCAAAGAAAGATTCTGGTTTACTTTTCTCAAGGAAAGTGGAACTGATGTTAGAATTGCGAGGAGATTTAGACATCATCAGAAAACAATTCACGTCATGATGTTGGAAATCTCCTTTTTTCTTTAGTTCTGTCGATGTGATATAAAAGAGCATATATTTTATTTAAATTTCCATCTTTATCCAGTTACAACTGATAAATAAAATTGTAGACAATTAAGGTGTACAATATGATGTTTGGATATACATATACATTGTGGAGTAATTACGACAATCGAGCTGTTTAACATATCCCATCTCACATAATTACCATTGTGTGTGTGTGTGTGTGTGTGTGTGTGTTTAGTGAGAGCATTTAATATTTCAATCCTTAGCAAATTTCTAGTCTATAATACAGCATTATTACCTATGGTCACAATGCAGTACATAGATCTCCAGAACTTACTTATCCTGCATAAGTGAGATTTTGCACCCTTTGACCAATATCTCCCTATTTTCCTCTCCCTGCAGCCCCTGGCGACCATCCTTATACTCTCTGCTTTTATGAAGGTAATTAGTTTTAATCCACCTCCTAGGGGTAGCAGTTTCAGTAATCAAACACTCACATTCCTGCATTGATTAGCAAATGCCGAATCAGAAAGTGCACACTCCAGAAGTTCTCACTAAAGCCTGTCAGCTGTCATTTTCTATGTCTGCTCAACACTGGAGGTCTCACTAGCTGGTGTAATTTGTCTGGAAGTGCTTTTTCCTTGGAAAGTTTAGTGGTGTATTCTCTAGCAACATGGATGTAGAAAATGGGCTTTCATTGACGAGAAAGGCAGACGGAATAAACTGAATCAGTCACTCCCCACACCTGCAAAACAAGGTCTCACCGTCTCGTAAGCCACATACTCTGTACTTGTGGGGAGTACACCTGAAGTCAAATGCCTAAACCACACTCCATCCAGTCACTGAGATGGCAGATTCTGGTTGCCAGATGCCAACTGCGACGGATTTCTTCTTTTAGAACGTTGTCATAGCTGTCTCATGGGGCTCTTGTTATGGACTGAATCGTGTCCCCCAGGACTCATGTGTTGAAGTCTTTGTTTTGTTGTTGTTGTTGTTGTTGTTGTTTGAGATGGAGTTTTGCTCTGTTGCCCAGGCTGGAGTGCAGCAAGGCGGTCTCCCCTCATTGGAACCTCCACCTCCCAGGTTCAAGCGAGTCTCCGGCCTTAGCCTCCCAAGTAGCTAGGATTGCAGGCATGTGTCGCCACACCCAGCTAATTTTCGTACTTTTAGTAGAAACGGGGTTTCACCATGTTGGCCAGGCTGGTCTCGAACTCCTAACCTCAGGTGATCCACCTGCCTTGGCCTCCCAAAATGCTGGGATTAGAGACGTGAGCCACCACGCCAAGCCTCGTGTTTTGAAGTCTGAACCTCCAATGTGGCTGTACTTGGATATAGGGCCTTTAAAGGACTAATGAAGATTAACTGAGGTCGTAAAAATTGAGCCTAATCCAGTTTGATTTGTGTTCCTAGGAGAAGAGAAAGAGACATGAGAGATGTGCACACTGAAAAAAGACCAAGTGGGGACACAGTGCAAAGGCGGCATCTGCACGCCAAGGAGAGGGACCTCAGAAGAAACTGAGCCAGCCAGCACCACACCTTCGTCTTTGACCTCCAGCCTCCACAACTGTGAGAAATACCTTTCTGTTGTTTAATCCATCCAGGCTGTGTCATTTTGTTATTGCAACCTGAGAGACCATCACAGAATATGTGGTTGGATCACTTACAAGGATACAGGATCTAGGTATCGTACAGTTTACAGAATGTATGGACCACTATGTTCCTGATTGATAATATGTATTAATTATCAAATACGTGTATGGCAGAATTTGTCCTAACGCTTTGTTTCCTCTTAATCTGATTGTGAAGCTGGAGAAAAGGCTGATCCTTTGCTCAGGTCAAACTCTGACAACTGTGTAATCTTATTTCAAAAATGGTTGCCCATGACCCAAAGGGCTGAGGCTACTTCATGGCATTTGCTCTTTGACTCACCTGGACAATCTCTAGAAATACACCTGAAGTCACCTGATGAAGTGCCCAATATTTCCCGTTGCTCTAGGTATTATTAGAATGGAAATGAGATGGTAATGAAGCCTGAGGTCTTCTTGAAGTCATTTGGTTGGCTTTCTTGGCTCTAACCAGTTTCAGCTGGTCTGGTTACCAAGGGAACATTTTATTGCAGGCATCCTTAAAGAGTAACAGAGTTAGGACTGGGTAGAAATTCAGTTTTGTCATGTAGGCATTACACTAGGTAACACTAACACCAGGGAAGAGATAGTACCCTTCTCACGAATGAGTCTCTGTCACCAAGGAGGTGGTGGGGTGGAGCTCTGCCTGCCAACCAAACCCTACATCAAGACTTTATTCTCTTCTTATGCTCTAGAATTTCGCAGTAGTATTGGAGATAGGACATTTCCTGAAAGAAAGATGGAAAACTGTAACAGGTTGCTATTGATCCACTGCGTACAAACAGCTTGCGTGTCTGCAAATTATTCTGGTTGACTTGTGTCCAGTCCTGGTCATATAAGGCCTTCAAAGTCTCACCGGTTCATTGTGGAAACACAGACATTTAAAAACTGCCCATGTTGGCCAGGTGCAGCGGCTCTGTAATCCCAGCACTTTGGGAGGCCAAGGCAGGTGGATCACTTGAGGTCAGGGATTTGAGACCAGCCTAGCCAACATGGTGAAACCCCATTTTTATAAAAAATAAAAATTAGCCAGGCGTGGTGGTGGGCGCCTGTAATCCCAGCTACTCAGGGGGCTGAGGCATGAGAATAACTGAAACCTAGGAGGTAGAGATTGCAATGAGCCGAGATCATGCCATTGCACTCCAGCCTGGGTGTCAGAGCGAGACCCTGTCTCAGAACAGAAACAAAAACGACAACGAAAAACCTCCTATGTTCTTAGGCTCTGGCTCTGTCCAGGACATCGGCTGTCCATAGAACAACCTGAGGGCTAGTTCCCAGCCACTAATTCCAGCGGTTTCCAGAGGGTTTTATTCCCTCCCTCTCTGAACACTGCAGTCCATCAGGGTTTCAAGTAGTCCTAGTTTCCCAAAGTCTCGGTTGAAACATGAAACACGACATTTGACCAAAAAAAAAAAAAAAAAGGAAAAAAGCCCCTATCCTAATGCAACAGTGACCCCAAAACAATTCAGCAAGTGCATCAGGCCTCATAGAACCATTTGTTAAATCAACTCTTTCAGCTTCTGCCAACGGCCAGTCTCTCCATAAGTCTCAGGCACAATTCCCAGTGGGAGGCAAATGAAGCCGTGTCTGTACGTCTGCTGTCCTCCCTCCCACACACCCTCTCCACTCCCTTCCTCGGTAGGTCACAATCAAAGCACCCATGCAAACTTAGTGATTCTTTATAATTTCTTATCCATTGAGTCTCTCATGCTCTGCTTTATCAGTTTTCCACGACCATGAGACACTCGCAGAATAAGCTGGCGCTTGGGACAACTGCAGATGAAAAACAGATCATTGGAGGTTGTGATCTAGCAAGGAAGATTAGGTTTATACATAGAAATGTTAGAAAAGCGGGAGCCTAGGAGAGCCAGGTGTCACCATTTTGAAATTAACTCCATCTTTAAACTTGCAACACACATTCCTTGCCAATCATGACTCACCATGAATCCCTTTCTGTGCGAGGCCAAGGAATCCTCTCTTGAGGTCTGGATCACAGGGACCTCTTTTTCCAGCAACACAAACATTGACAATATAAAAATAAAGAACATGTTTATCTATGATATCGATATCTATATCCATAAGTGTAGCTACCTCAAATCTGTCTCTTTATCTAGTTATCTAACTATATGTCTATCTGTATCTAATTTCTAACATATTGTTGTAGGAGGTCATAACAGAACCTGTTATAAAGTGACAGTCTCTTGCTTCTATTTTCTGTTATTTCCCATTCAGTTGAGGTAAAAGTCTTTTTGGAGGACCCTCCCCAACACGCGCCGGAACAGTTACTCCAGCACAGCCGCTCCAGCCTGGATCTCATTTTTGCTTCTCCTGGACTTCTTGCTGTGCAGATGTTATACTCACGCTCTCCGCTGGCCTCCTGCTCCTGCTCTGAAAGTGAGCAGTTGTCTCTCTGGGTGGCATTTGAAGTCAAAGTTGGGTATCTTGACAGTGCCCTGGTATTCCCACTGCAGGAGGGTGGCCTCTTCTGTTAGCGGTGACAGTTCTTACAGAACAATGCCTGGAGAGAGGACAACTTAGAGCAATTTCATTGACTTTCCCCTTGACAACTCAGCTCCCACACTAGAGCGGGTGAGGCAGTGCTCAGGAATAACAAAGCAAAATTGTGAAGCCAGGACTTCCTTGAGTTTCCTTTCTCACTAGATTTTAATTTTTATCATTATTATTATTTTGAGATGGTGTTTCACTGTAGTCACCCAGGCTGGAGTGCAACAGCGGGATCTCAGCTCACTGTGACTTCTCCCTCCCGGGTCCATACTATTCTCCTGCCTCAGCCTCCCAAGTAGCTGGGATTACAGGCATCCACCACCACGCCCAGTTCATTTTTGTATTTTTAGTAGAGACAGGGTTTCACCATGTTGGCCAGGCTGGTCTCGAACTCCTGACCTCAGGTGCCTTGGCCTCCCAAAGTGCTGGGATTACAGTTGTGACCCACGGTGCCCAGCCTTTCACTAGATTTTTGGAAAATGTCATAGAATGATTCAGGGTTCCAGATTCAATTTACTATAAGGTGAAATAAGTGGGCTGGTTAGCAAGTGGCTGGCTTTTCTCTGCTATGAGGATAAAAAGAGGGTGGCTACTTTCTGTGACTTTCCAAAGTCTCCGTTTCACTTAGTTCAAAAACACATAATGTTCATATAACAAAGAAATGATACATATTTGAGGTGATGATATGCTAAGTTGCCTAATTGGACCATTCTGCCATGTATACAGGTATCAAAACATCACATTGTATGCCATAAATATATACAATTACTATTTGTGAATTTAAAATCAAACTATATGGCCGGGTGCGGTGGCTCAAGCCTGTGATCCCAGCACTTTGGGAGGCCGAGACGGGCGGATCACGAGCTCAGGAGATTGAGACCATCCTGGCTAACATGGTGAAACCCCGTCTCTATTAAAAAATACAAAAAACTAGCCGGGCATGAAGGTGGGCGCCTGTAGTCCCAGCTACTCGGGAGGCTGAGGCAGGAGACTGGCGTAAACCCAGGAGGCGGAGCTTGCAGTGAGCTGAGATCCGGCCATTGCACTCCAGCCCGGGCGACAGAACGAGACTCTGTCTCAAAAAAAATAAAAAAATAAAAAAAAATTAAAATCAAACTATAAAAATTACATTACACTAATGTTCTAAGATGACTTCTGAGACATGTAGCATGTGTTGAGTACTTATACTAAGTCTCTCACTGCTTCTAGTCATTGAAGAGGTTTATACTATAAGCAAACGTAATTATTATCATATTCATTTTACAGATCAGGAAACTAAAGTGCAGAAATAAATATTTGTCCAAATCTGCACAAGGAAGAGTTTCGACATAGGGCTAGCACCCAGGGATATCTAGTTTTCAAGGCCCACCCTCTCACGTAGTACACTACCCGGCCCTCCACTCGCTGCAGTTAGGATTCAGGAGCAATAACTGGACACATTCAAGCCAGTTTACGTCTTTACAGAAAATTCCGCCCATTTTGATTAGTGAAGATTCACACCTTTAGCTATGATGTGGCTCCCAGAATTCCTCCAAGTCAGAGTATAAGCAGAGCTGGACATAGTTCAGATAGTTGTGTCGTACCAAAAACAATTTTTAAAGAATACAGAATCAATCAATCCAGTAGAAAATGACACGGTTTTCATTAGGCTAAAAGTAATTAAGTCAATGCAACTCTTAAGCCCCATGGGTGGGAACTGTTGGTTCATAAAAAGTGTTTAGTTCGGATCTGAGCTGAAACAACTTTCAATCTCATCTGCAAGTAGAAAGATGGCAACGGCTCCTTTACACACCAGTAAAATTAGAACAAATACATATAGGCAACTAGGACAATCCTGGAATATTCTGGGCACCAAATAAATACCATGGATGCATCTTATGCAGCCAGACAGGATGGCCCAATAATCAGACATCCGAAGGCTCCTAGATGTGGATCCTCTGAATTCACTCTGCAATGTGAAATTCTGTTATTCTTGGCAACAGATCGTGCTTTCTGAAAAAGTGTGTCCTAACTGAGATAACATTGAAATTTTCTGTTTAAACACACCTCAAATGACCGTGTTCAGGAGTCAGTGTTCCCATCAATGGATCTGAAGATATTCTGAAGCTCCTAGAAATAATAAATGGCATCTGAAATTATTTCAAGATAAATCATCCTGGGAAGACTTTGAAGGTTAGTCTGAAATTGTGCATAGCAACCCGGAAAAGCTGTGCTTTGCCCAGCTAAAGTGTGGTCCCTGCAAGTCATCACCTGGGCCAGGTAAGCTGCTAGGCCACCCAGAGAAGAAAAATACAGAGCAGCCTATGGACAGATTTTCTTACCCAAGGTCAGTTTAGACAGAGGAGTCACTTGAATAATTGTCCGCTTCCTTCTTTCTTCAAGCCCAGAGGATACTTACTTTTGGAATATTCACTTACTCCTCACATAGCCATATTTTTCTCACTTAACTCCGTCTCTTCTTCTCTTTAAGGCCTGGTAGAAAATGGGCAAATTTTATAAAATGAGGCAGAAGAGCCTCTAACATTGCCCATATGTGGGAAGATGAAATCTAGGAAAGAGAGCTTAGAAGGAGAGAGTCATGGTACCCATTGGGGTTCCTCAATGAGAACATTGCAGAAGGTGTAAACTGGTGGGCTCAAGGCTGAATACAGCCTATAGGTATGTTTTCTTGGCCTACACATCATTGCTTTTAAAATTGGTTTTCAGCAGTCAAAGTTCAGGGGGTTTTATAGCAGGGCTCTGGATTTCAGGCTACTCTTAAAAGTTTAGAAGATGGGCAATGCTGGGCCTCTGTTTCTGCATAGCAGCAAAGTCCAGGAGCAGAGTAGCAGCTGCTTGCATTAGAGGCAGCATTAGATCTTC